GAGAGAGAGAGAGAGAGAGAGAGAGAGAGAGAGAGAGAGAGTGTGTGTGTGTGTGTGTGTGTGTGTGTGTGTGTGTGTGTGCGTGTGCGTGCGTGTGTGCGTGCGTGCGTGTGTCGTTCATCTGGTTGCACTTGTTCATAGGTAGCCTCCTTGTTTGATTTGTGTGTTTCGTTCTTTGTTTGTTGATGGTAACGTTGTTGCCTCGATACGAGCGTTTAATGCGTGTTCAAGTGTTGATTGAGACCTGTGTCTTCACGGCAAGGCATTTGCATCTGTGCGCAAGTGCGCTGGAGTGTCTGTCTGTGCCTGTAGTGCTTGCAAGACGCGTTGTTTGAGCGGCTCGTCGACCTTCATCTGGTTCAGAGCGCGCACCTGTACATCAAAGTCATCTCCATCCGAGGACAGCAGTTGCACAATCTGGTGGTGCGTGGTTTGTGGTGTTGAGGGGGGAGGGGGCGAGGTCGAAGAAGGGAGGAGAGGGAGAGATGGACAAGGCAGGGTACAGCAGAGTAGCAGAAGACATGACGCGGACGGTATCAGTTGCGGTAGCCACGATGTTTGCGCAGCATTGGTGTAGAGGGGTGACAAACGAGGAATGACGAGAGCATGTCGAAGAAAACAGCAGCAACAATGTAGTGACGACAAGACATGAGAAGAGACGCAGTCGAAGTGAAGGGATGACACGAGTCATTCATTGGGATTGCACAGGGACTGGTGGCCAAGACAGGAGCAAGGAGCAAGTGGCGGCGAACACGGCAACAGCTGCAACAACAACGGTGGCGGAAGTGAGAAGGGAAGGCCAGCGCATGCCCTTCTTGCCCGCGGTGTTGGCAAGAGACGATACCATGTTGACGTCGGCGTCGCTGTCCGGCTGAAACGGAGCGGCTTCATCTTCCTGCTCCTGTCCTTCGTGACGATGACGTGTGTCGTGGGACAGCGACTTGAATTGCGCCATCCATGTCCTGTCAATGTGGTCCTTAAGCCGCCATACCCACCTGTGTTGCGCAAGAAAGGTCACATGCGGTATTGGCGTGAGGAGGAAAGTGTTGGAAGGGGAGGGGTTTTTGAATGGTCACTCAATCATGGGTGGTGTTGTGGTGATGACCGTGGTTGTAGTGGTGCTGTGGGCACGGTGGTGTGTGATTGTGGGCCTGGCTAAACCATGATCCAGCCCACATACTCGCGTTTTCGCGCGCGCAAACAACAAACACAATTGCACACGTGCAGTAACCCCGCGCACCTGCCCTTCATGGTGATGTTCCACTTTGTTCCGATAGCGGCGCCATCGCCCGTGATGAGCAGCGACAGAAAATCCGACTGGGGCTGATATCGCTTCAGCCTGGTGAGATGCACACACGCACCAGCCATGTTGGAACACGTGTGTGTGTGTGTGTATGTGTGTGTGTGTGTGTGTGTGTGTGAGTGTGAGTGAGTAAGAATGTGAGTGAGTGTGTGTGTGTGTGTGAGTGAGTGTGTGTGTGTGTGCTATTGGGTGGGGCACAACATGGCTGTTCAGTGTGGAAATTGCGTTTCGCACCTTTGTGTCTCCTTGTTCAGCACTGCCTTGAGGTTGTGCACGAGAATGGGGCCCTCTCTGCACCGCATAACAGAGCAATGCATGACACACACGTGCGTTTGTGTTTGTCTGTCAAGCACACGCAGGCATACGCTCGTGCACATGGGTCAGTCGTAAATGTGTGTGCGTGTGAGCGTGTGTGCGTGTGAGCGTGTGTGCGTGTCACACCTGACAGCGTAGACGCCGGCCTTTGGTGGAAACTCGCCATTCCAGGCATCAAACGAGTTGCAGTCGCCGACTGCAAACAGATTGTTGTAACCAACGACCTTCGAAGCACGAAGCGCAGGCCGTTGAGGTGTAAGCAGAAGGACGTCACGTGCACGGTAACGTGCGTGTCGAGCGAGTGGGTGTGAGTGTGTGAGTGAGGGAGTGAGGGAGTGAGTGTGAGTGAGGGAGTGAGGGAGTGAGTGAGTGAGTGGGTGAGTGAGTGGGTGAGTATGAGTGTGAGTGTGAGTGTGAGTGTGAGCGAGTGAGTGAGTGTGGGTGTGAGTGAGTGTGGGTGTGAGTGAGTGTGGGTGTGTGCCTGTGTGAATGAGAGTGTGCGCTGCACCTGCAACGTTGTGTCGACGCGAATGAAACCACGCTCGTCCTTGGGCAGTGACGTGTCTGTGACCCATGCATGCGGGGCGGCGCCTCTGCATGATGCAATTGCATGGAAACAGGTGCCGTCAACCACATGAAGCTAGGTAGGACTCTTCACACCAGCACACGACACACAGCACGCAGCACGCAACACGTAACACGTAACACACGATGTATGACACACGACACCCGACACCACCACTACCACCACAACAGCGTCTTCGTTGCCACAGGGCTCACGTTGCCACAATCAGGAGATCGGCCGGGTGTGTGCTGCCGTTGGTATCAACGACAACGTGCTCCTCCTCGCGATAATCGACAATCGCGCAGTTCTCCTTCACCTGGCGGACCGTACAGCAGTAGGTAAGTGAGTGAGGGAGAGTGAGTGAGTGGGTAAGTGAGTGAGTGAGTGAGTGAGTGAGTGATTGAGTGGGTGGGTGGGTAAGTGAGAGAGAGAGAGTGTGTGTGTGTTGTGTGGCGTGTGTGTATGTTTACGATGCGTCTGTGTGTGTGTGTGTGCATGACGAGCGATGCAGTGAATGGCATGGCGTACGTTGATATGTTTTGAGTGCAGCGAGGCCATGGTCTTTCGGATGGTGGATCGAGCGTAACTGAAGCGCAAAGACCGATGTAGCATGTTCGAGATCGCTGTGGCACACTCCAACACATTGTGGGACGCATGCAGAAGCATTTCTGGATACAAGACCAACGTTGGTGCCACGACACAGTGCCAACACGAAGAGCCACACAACTGGCGACACACACACACACACACACACACACACACAATGACAATCGAGTTGAGAGTGATCGCACTTTCGTGCTTGGGCATACTTTCGAAGAATTGGCGATGAGCGGGACATGAGTGTGACGTTTGCCGGCTGCCCAAGTGTCTCCCTGGAGACGCGCCCTCAACAGTGAGTATTCCTGCGGCTGAAACAGCGTGCGTGCATGTGTCTGTATATGTGCATGTGTGGGTGGGCGTGTACTGTGCACTGTGCACTGTGCACTGTGCACTGTGCCTGTTCGCCTGTGTGTCTGTCTCCTTGAGTATGTTTGTCGAACATCAGAGCACCCTGACCTTGCTTGGCGGTTGACTGCAAATGCGAGCTCGACCCCAGCTGCACCGGCGCCGATGACGACGATATTCGGTGTCGTGTCCTGAACCTTGAACATGGCGAGTGCTGTACTGATCTGCATCCAGCCCCAGCACCCACGAGAAACAAGCAACGGACAGTGAGGAGGGAGGGAGGAAGGTGAAGGTTGTGCGCGAGGCGTGCGTGAGTGTGTGTTACATGTGAGTGTGTGTGTGAGTGTGTGTGTGTGTTGTTATGTTTGTGTGTTCTTGTCTCTGTCTGTGTTGTTGTGGTTGTTATGTTTGTGGGTTCTTGTCTCTGTCTGTCTGTCTTGGTGTGTGTGTGTGTGTGTGTGTGCCGAAAGTCTACCTTCGTGTTGAGGTCGCTGATGGGCCGAGTGAAGACAACATGGCGACACGCGCTCACATCTGACCGAAAGGGATTCCTGGCGAAAGAAGAGCGGGTGGCACACGCAGTATGGGATGCGTGAATCGCAATGACGAATACAACGAGCACAAGCACACCTGATGACCCAACAACATGCAAACAAAAGATAGTCCACCAGTATTGCTCCGCCTCGCAAGCGCTTGCACCTTGTGCATGAGCCGACGTCGATTGATGCAAAGTCATACGTGATGCTCTTGCTTTCCTGATTCCTGTCGGTGTAGCTGATCTTCCGCTCCTCTGCGTTGATGTCAAACACCGTGCCTGCAACATGTGTTGGGTGTAGATACGGTGGCGGTGAAGGAACGAGAGAGGGGTGGCGTAAGTGCTGTTCCACATCTGTCTGTCTCGTGCTGCTGCGGCGACATACCTTGGATGAATGTCCAACCATAGTGCCGGCACAGCTCCGGGAGGCTCACTTTACATTGGTCATCATCATACATCCCCTGCAGCCAATGGTGGACAAGGGTGGAAGCCGTACGCACGTGGGAGCGCGTGCGTATGTACACACTGGCCAGTGAGCTATGGAGCAGCAAAGGAACCTGGTGCAGAAGGAGGGCTTCAATAGACAGAAGATGTTGTTGCGCATGATGCAGTGCGAAGTGCACATTATGCAGGGCAAAGTGCACATCATGCAGCGCAGCGAAACCCATGCAGTCAACACGCGGTACACACCGCCACGTGGCCAGGAATCATGCCACTGTAATACGCGGAAGCTGCATTGGCGATGAGCACAACATCCAGTGTATCGGAACGATGAACCTCAGGCAGAACCTAAGCGTTGGTGGTTGCACGAGGAGGACAAGACATGCACGTGAGCGCGAGCGCGTGCACGTGTGACGTT